GCTACCATGGAAGCCTGAGAGGCTGCTGATGGGAAACACGAACAGTTCAACGGCTCTGGGAATATGGCCCGCAGGTGATTGGAAATAGGAATAGCACTAAATCCGAAACAGTCGTCAACTCCTTTGAGAATGGATTTGGAAATGCAAGGAAGGAGCCAGGTGTGATGGCCCTATAATCCCTGCACTCAGCGCGGCAGGAGGGTCAGGAGTTCTAATCCAGCCTGGCTTGCATCAACCTGGTCTCAGAAATCAAGATAGACAGCGAGGGCTTGAAGCTCCCCTTCCCACACACATTTCACAGATAGAGGCAAAGCGGGGAGCAAAGCACTTCATTTTCTCTCTCTCTCTCTCTCTCTCTCTCTCTCTCTCTCTCTCTCTCTCCTCTTTTTCGATACAGGGTTTCTCTGTGTAACAGCTTGGCTGGCCTGGAACTCAGAGATCTGCCTGCCTCTGTCTCTCCAGTGCTGGGATTAAAGGTGTGCGCCACCACCACCCCAACATCTTTTGTTTTCTTTGTACCTCTTAGAATTCAGAAATGTGTGCTAGGTACCTACTTACAACGTTGCTTTTTCAAGAACAAAACCGCTCACGCTTACCTACAAACTCAGTTCTCTAGAGATCCCGAGTCTGTCAGTGTCGGCAGCAGCAGCAGCGAGACACAGCCTGGTACAGTCAGCAGCAGCCTGCACTGCCCCTTTCCGACTCCTTGGGGACCCTACTCAGGTTAAGCCAGGATTTTTACCTCAGCACAGAAAAGAATTTCAGGGTGAGTCAGTGTGAAACAAAAGATAGCGGATTTATTGTTCTGCTGTGTCCTGGTTAGCTTTTATGTCAACTTGACACAAGCCAGGGTCAAATGCAAAGAGGAAACTCCGATGGTGAGAAAGCCTCTATTGGCATTTTCTCGGTTAGTGATTGATGTGGGAGGAGCCAGCTCACTGTGGGTAGCTGAAAATGAGCCTAAAGCAAGCCAGCGAACAGCACTCTTCTATGGTCTCTGCTGTCTCTGCTCAGTTCCTGACTCCGGGCTCCTGCCTCGAGCTCCTGCCTCGAGCTCCGGCCCCAACTTCCTCACTGTGCCCTGTGATTGGGATGAACAAGCCAAATAAACCCTCTCCTCCTCACGTTGTTTTTGGTCGTGGTGTTTATCACGGCAATAGAAGGCAAACAAAATGGTTATTGGGGAGAGGAGAGTGCATGGTGCCAAGGCTTCTCAAGGGAGAACTGCACTCAGGTGTTATTACTGGTACATTTAAGGTCCAGCAGCTTCCTAAGTTACAGTCTTCAAGGGATACAATTTGCAACAAGATGAACCTTTTTTTTGGTTTTTCGAGACAGGGTTTCTCTGTGGTTTTGGAGCCTGTCCTGGAACTAGCTCTTGTAGACCAGGCCGGTCTCGAACTCACAGAGATCCGCCTGCCTCTGCCTCCCAAGTGCTGGGATTAAAGGTGTGCGCCACCACCGCCCGGCTAAGATGAACCTTTTTAAAATGTTTTTTGGAGATAGGGTCTCACTACATAGCCTTGTAGAACTCCCTAGGTAGACCAGGCTGACCTCAGACTCAGAGATCTGCCTGCCCCTGCCTCCCACATGATGGTATTAAAGGTGTGTGCCACCACTGCTTGCTTCTCTAGTGATTTTCTTAAATTTTTAGTCACCATAGAGAACAGGGGCTGCAGGAGCACTGACATTTTGTCCCCTTGTGAGATAGGAGCAAGCATTTCATGGGAACTGATCCCACCAGCAACACGGATGGAAGAATCGGAATGGAGATCTCTAACCAGACCGCACAGATCAAGACTGCTCATTCACTAATAATTCTCACCCGGTCCCTATAGGCTTCTATTTAAACTTAAAGCTCATACCGGTACCCCAAAGATGGGCTTGGGGGGGGGTGTTCACTGGATCCATCTTTTCTTCACAATGTAGCATCACTGACCCAATCTTTCTCTGTCCTTCACCACTACCCCTTCTACTGTTGTATGAGGACAGGTACCTGGAGAAGTTGGCTGGGATCCGGGGGCTGGAATCTTTGCCCTAGGACTCTGCCAACACAGCTACCACTGCACTGATCCAGGCTCTTGGGGAATGCTCAGTAATGTGGGTGTACTGGATAAAAGACGACAGAGTCTAAGGTCTTCCGCTCCTGGTTCTGGAGTCTGGGGTGAGCGTGTGTACGGGAATGGGGAATGACTGTGCCATAACTCCTCGGTATCGTGGCCTAGAGGAAGGCTTGGGAGGACTGGAGAAGGGTGAAGTTGCAGCAGCAAACGCAGCTACACTGGCAGGGAAGTAGAAAATGATTCCTGAGTGTAACACCTAAGGGTATCCTATGACTGTAGGCTGGGCATGGAGGTATACATCTCTGATCCTCGCACTCGGAGGCAGAGGTAGTCAGATCTCCATGAGTGAGAGGCCAGCCTGGTCTACATAGTGAGTTCCAGGATAGCCAGGGCTATGAAGAGAGATCCTGTCTCAAAATAAAAAAACAACAACAACAAAGTCTTTTCCCCACTCACTGTTGGCACCCTGAACAAGGAGGACAGACTTTAATTAATTAGCATATATTAATTATACATAATAATGGTTTTCGTCTTTCTTACATCTTATATTTTCATCACATCCCCTGTCACCCTCCCCTCTGCCCCTCTCACTCCTGTTCTTTCTCGTCCTCTTCCACCTAGCCTCCTTTCTACTTCTTTGGGTTGGTGACCTGGTGAGTTTCGTTAGCGTTGTTTGTAGAAGTGTAGGTAGGAGTTTGCTTACAGAGCAAAGGCCCCTGACAGTGGCTGCACCAATGAAGATTATTTATTATCTTCATATAAATCTTCATGGACTGGGGGGGGCCTAGGTCTCTCTTTCTCTCTCTCTCTGTCTCTCTCTTTTTCTCTTTCTCTCTCTCTCTCATGTTTTCTGAGACAGGGTTTCTCTGTGTAGCTCTGGTGGTCCTTGAGCTCACTCTGTAGACCAGACTGACCTCAAATTCACAGAGATCTGCCTGCCTCTGCCTTCCACACCACCACCACCTGGCTACTTTTTATTTTTTATTTTTTTAAAATAAATAAATTTTTTTATAAATATTTATTTATTATGTATACAATATTCCATCTGTGTGTATGCCTGCAGGCCAGAAGAGGGCACCAGACCCCATTACAGATGGTTGTGAGCCACCATGTGGTTGCTGGAAATCGAACTCAGGACCTTTGGAAGAGCAGACAATGCTCTTAACCACTGAGCCATCTCTCCAGCCCCCTACTTTTTATTTTTTGAAATAGAGTCCAACTCTGTAGCTCTGTCAGGAACTCACTCTGTAGGCCAGCCTGGCTTTGAACTTAGAGCCATCCTCCGGCCTTTTTCCTTCCCAACAAATAGAAGACAGGTATGTACTTATCTTAATACACACACACACACACACACACACACACACACACACACACACACACACATAGTATGTGTGTGTCTGGTGGTTTCAATGAGATGTCCTCATAGTCCCAGGCATTTGAGTACTTAGTGGCATTGTTTGGACAGTTCAGATGTGATGTCTTACTAAATGAAGGATGTCAGACTCGAGATGTTTCCAGTTTGCTTCCTGGTTGTGGTTTAAGACGTGAGCACAGCTTGCTGCTGTCACCAGGGCTGCTGGCATGCGTCCCACTGTGTCATGGGAACTCTAATCCCTCTAGAACCATAAGCCCAAATGAACCCTTCCTTCTACAAGCTGTCTTGGTCATGTTGTCTTATTACAACAATAGAAAGATAACTAACCCCGAAGCTGGTGTCAGGCTATTGCTGTGACAGGCCAGCCATGCTGTTTTTGGAGGAACGTGGAAGACCTTGGACCTTTGGGCTAGAAAGGCTGTTTTGGACGCAGGATAACAGGGGCTGGGAAGGAAGTAGTACTGAGAGCTCTTCAGACTGTGGAGCTCAGATCAAGAGGTTCCAGAGGGGAATAATATCAAGCAAATGGGCTAGAGACGGCTGTGATTTTTCTGGAAAAATGTCACAATGTTGTGATACTGTGGGTGCCTCCCGCTCACGGCCTAAGAACTTGCCTAAGGCTAAATGGAAAAGTAAAGGACTGACTTCTTTGGCAGAGGAGGTTTCAAGGCAGCCTGATATTGACTCTGTCATGTGGTTAGAAATCACTCTTAGACAGATCTGCAGTGAAAAACAGCAAATGGGGCAGGGAGGAAAAATTTAAAAAGTAGTTTGAAGTGAAAAAAAAAAAAAGAGCACCAGGAAACTTAATGCTAAGCCCGTGTTTGTGCTGGAGAGATAATGAGATTAAGGGGATGCCTCATCTGCACTGGGATAAAGGGAAGGGTACCACCCTCAAGGCAAGTGATGCTTCTGGACTAGAGGAAAGAGGATCAGACAAACCCAGGGCCACCACTGTGCCCCAAAGTCAGGGGCAGGCTTCTCTGTTTGCCTAACTACAGAAATAACGGTGAAACAGAAAGGACTGTTGTGATATATATCCACTCCCCAGCCCAACAGGAAGGAAAACAGCACCTCTGCTTTTTTTGGGGTAAGATGCTAGGGTCCAGAGTCCCCCGTCAGCCATTTTCACACCAGTATCTGACCGGCTGCCCTACTATTTGCAACCACCTAGAATTTTGACTGATTTCGTTAAAACGCTCATTTTAGAGTTGGGTATGTTGTTTTAGGCCTCTAATCCCAGCATCAGGGAGGCTGAGGCAGGAGGACTGCCTCAAATCCGAGGCCAGCCTGAACTACTAGTACATAGTTCAAGTCAAGACTAGGACTCCGCCTCACAAACAGACACAGAGACAAAGGTCTATTTCACTGGGCATGGTTGCTTATCCCAGCACTTGGAAGGCTGAGGCAGGAGGATCACCACATTCATATTCACACACATTCTGAGGTAAGAAGAGACCAAATTTATTCAAGAGAGAGGAAGGCCAGCAAATAATTCGTATTGCCTGAACAAGCTAGGAGAATCACGTTCAACCTTAAGATGTTTGTCAAAGCACCATTCCCTGAAGTCTTTCCTTGAACTCAACGCAGGTCTCGGTCTCGTCTGGCTCCTAGAAGATGATAGGCGTGCCCTAAATCTAAGGGCCTCGGCTGACAGACTCTTGAGGGAGGTGAATTGGCACAGACGTGGAGGTGTGTGTGTGTAGGATGCTTCTGCACGTTCCCACGGGAAGAGAACCGGAGTTGCAAGTTTTCCAGCCCACGGAAACGGCAGGGGCGCGCAGAGCAGCTGCTGCGGAGCGGAAGTGCATCCCGGGAGCCGTTCTAGGAAACCCGGAGGACCCCGCGCGTCAATGGTCGAGGGCACAGTGGGTTTCGCGAGGTGCCCTGGGACGTTCCAGGGAGCCGACCGGCCCTCGCCAGCCGGGTGGCGATGGGGGTGAGTTAGGGCGAGAGCAGCGGCCAGGGAAGCGGGAACGGGCGAGGGGACGTGGGCCCGCTGACCACCTGTTCCTCCCGCGAGTGCGGCCCGCGAGGATTGGCCGCAGTGCCGCGCGGCACCGGAAGTGGCCGGTGTCCGTCGCCCGTGACAGCAGACAACAGCTGCGGTTCTGTGCGCGCCGCGGTGCAGCGCTCTGGGCCGGCGGAGTGAGCGTGGGCGGCATCCGCCAGCGGTGAGGCCTCTCTGGTTCGGTCCTGCCCCGGGGAGGAGGGCGCCGGGCTCCCAGCCTCCAGCCGGAGTCCTGAGTATAGGCTGGTTTGCTGTGTGACCTTGGACTTTATGGCACTAGGGTCCCTTACTCCCTTGCCCACGGAGAGGGTGGAACCTGGGCAGTGTCAGAGATCGTCCCCAATTCTGCTGCTTCCAGGCCTTGTCAACCAGGGAACTGGAGAAGCAGGATCCGACGTGGGCATACCTTAGAACCTGTGCCTATTTATCTTTTCTTTATCCCACTCCCACCCCCGCCCCGCCCCGCCACGTTGGTATTCCATTCCCTAAGGATACTGCTAGAACAAAGGACAGACAAAAGCTAAGGCCCCCGTGGCATGTTGTGACCCGTGCTAACAGACAGGATATTGGCTTATGTTGGTTTATAAAGATTAAAGAAGATAGAATTGGGTGAACAGATGGCTCAGTGGTTAAGAACACCTGCTACTCTTCCAGTTGGCTTCCAGAACTCACTCAGGCAGCCCCGATCATCTGTAAGTCCAGCTCTGGGGCTTTGGCTCCCTCAGGCACCTGCACTCACGTGCACACTCCTATATGCAGAAACACAACACATCTACACATAATTAAAAGTGATAATAATAATAATAAGGGAGACCAAATTGAGCACAGCATTAACAGAGTTCCCTTGATACTGGGTACCAGAGGAGGAAGATAATAGTGTCTTGGGAGAAGAACTTTTTTTGTTTTAGTTTGATTTTTTTTGAGATGGGGTCTCACAGCCTAGCTGTCTAGTTTAGAACTCACTATGTAGACCAGGTTGACCTCATACTCTCAGACATCCACGTGCCTCTGTGTCCCAAGGGCTAGGATTAAAGGTATGTGTCATCATGCCAGGCAAAGAACTCGTTTTTTATAAGTAATTGCTATATACATATAATAAGTTATAATACACACACTGCTCCGGTCTCTAGGTAGGACTGTCTGGTTCACCATCAAGACAACTGCAGATTTGTTACCCAGATAGCACACAAACCTTCACCGAATATTTACCAGGTATCAGAAGTGTGCGAAGCACTGAGATGAACAACATGGATACTATCATCTTTGCTCCTGATCTACAGCACCGTTCTCAACTTGTGGGCCGGGTCACAACATTTTGGGGGGTCGAACAACCCTTTCACTGGGGTCGTCTAACACCACCGGAAAGCATAGATATTTACATTATGATTCATAACAGCAAAATTACAGTTACGAAGTGGCAATGAGAATAATTTTACAGTTGGGGGTCACCCCACCATGAGGAACTGTATTAAAGGACTGTAGCATTAGGAAGGTTGGGGACCACTGTGCTAGAGGAAAGCGAGCGGGTCGCACAGTAACATAATGGCCCCATGGAGAAGTAACATTTGCTAGGGCCTGCAGATCAGAGAACACATGGGGGGGGGGGACGGCACATACTTCAGCTGCATCGTGAAGGGGTTTGTTAAGGGCACGGGTGGGCAGTGGTTTTCCAGGAAGTGAGAAGAACTTGTCCGCAAAGGCAGAGAGACTAAAGAATGGACAATGGACTACAGGACACCGAGCACATCTGGAGCTGCCAGTTGTTATGGAGAATGTGAGGTAGAGGTGGGAAAAGGAAACAGGTTTGGTTGTGAGCATTGTGAGCCGTGGGAAACCTTCGTTCTGGAGGCCTTGAGAGGAGCAACAAACAGGAAGTGGGGTGGAAACTGTAGTTGAGAGAGGTGAGAAAGGTTAGTGAAGGCTTCCAGGAAGAGCTAGTCCTCTTGCCCGGTGAATAATGGAATTCAGCTCACCCTGGCTTAAAAATATGTGGTGTTTTTAAGTTTTATTAGACACTTTACTAATAGATACGTGTATCAGAACTTTCTGAATGAGATTTTTTGAGACTTTTCTCCCACAGTGCATTGCAAAGATAACGCTGATTTTGTTTAAACAAAATCAACTGGAAGACGATGAGCTGGACATAATATTCATGTCTGTAACCCCAGGTGCTCTGGAGGCTAAAGCAGTAGCATTGTGAGTTAGAGGCCAGATTTGGAGACTTAGTGGGAGCCTCTCAAAATAAAAAGGAAACAGGGCGTGATGACACATGTGTTTATTCTCAGTACTTGAAAGGCAGAGGCCAGTGGATCTTTTTGAGCTCCATGCCAGCCTGGCTAACATATCAAGTTCTAGGCCAGCTGTGACTACATACTGAGACCCTCCCTGTCTCAAAAAACAAGCAAATAAACAAAAACACTCAGAAGAGCTGGAGGTATCATATGCTTAGTGGTTGAGTCTTGGGTTAATCATTAGAACTTTGCGGGGGTGTGGGGTGGGAGGTGGAACTCCATCAAAACCAAAAGTAAAAGATAAGCAAATACAGGAGACATGAAGATTTGAAAAGGAAGTACAGAGGGGGTTGGGAAATACATAGCCACTTGAAATACCAGCTCCTGAAACCTGTTCTTGGCTGGGTATTAGAAAGGCGTTTACTTGTGGAAATGGTTAGTTTTTACTTTTTACCTGGCATCTCACTGTGTAATCCAGACTGGCCTCAAATTCATGATCCTTCTGCATTGTCGTCCCCTCCTCCCCATTCTCTCTCTCTCTCTCTCTCTCTCTTTATTTTTCTGCTTTGTCCTCTTAAGGGCTGAAGTTAAAGGCACTAGAAGAAATCTTGTGTAAGATAGTACTTCCCAAATGAAATAATGCCATGGATGGAGAAGATAGCTAACAGCTAGGTATGGTGGGCGATACATGCCTTTAACCCCAGTTCTTAGAAGGCAGAGACATAGCTCTGTAAATTTGAAGCCAACTTAGTCTATATAGTGAGATTCTGTCTCAGAAAAAGATAGTCACAATTCCATAATGTATCCTTACAGTTGTACAGACAGCATCTTTAATTTTGAAAGATTTCAACAAAAAGGAAAAATCAAGCTTTGGGATCTTTCCTTGCTTTGTGGGAAAATAAGAAGAGAAGAAGGGCTTCTAACTCACTTAGAGGGAGATAACAAAGATCTTCCAGGCCTTCAGGATTCCAGGCTAGATCAAGTTTTTCTGGCTGGTATCTCCCCAGGGTAGGCTGGTGTTGGTCACCAGCGTCTTGTGGTTGACAGGAGTCTAGGTAGAGAAAAGGACAGTACAGAGGTCACCTGCAAAGTCACTTTTCCTTCCCTGTCAAGGTTTATTGGGATGCCAGTTCCCTAAACCTCTCAGATCCAGAAGGAACGCGACAGCAAGTGCAGGATATAGATAAAGATATCTGAGGGTAAAAGGATTGAATCAGCTAACATATGTCTTCTCGTCATGTCCCGTTTATTCTTCCAGTGTTCCCCCTCTCCGTGTTCCCTCTTCCAGTGTTCCCCTCTCCGTGTTCCCTCTTCCAGTGTTCCCCCTCTCCGTGTTCCCTCTTCCAGTGTTCCCCCTCTCCGTGTTCCCTCTTCCAGTGTTCTCTTGATCCCACAGGCTTTCCAGTTTACCCACCCACACAGACACATTAGCAATTCTTTGGCAATAGCAAGGATACCAGGCATGCATTTTTCTGGGCCAAGATGGTAGATAAGACTGACAAAGCAGGCACCTGTTAACTTACTTGTGTCTCAGAGCTGGGCGTGACTGTGAAGTGCGCAGGCATATCTGTCAAAGGTAAATAGAGGAGGGGAGAGAGGGAGGTTGTGTGTTAACTACATTTGTGTGGTTGGTTAGGCTGAAATTTGTAATTGATAAATGTAGAAAAGAGGGAAGAAAGAAAGCCTTGCTGTGTACTTTCTGAGCACTTCTATTCCTGTGGTGGCTGGGAACACAGCATTATGGTAGCCATGGCAATCAGCGTAAGCTGCAGGAGGAAAACGGATGGTGCTTGCTCTGCATTGGTATTTTCACCAAAGGCTATCGATTAGAGAGAATCTCTTATCACTAGGTTAAAGTGAAAAGCTGCCCCTGTGTAACTTCTGGAGACTGCTGCTCCCAACGCCAGGCTATACAGTGAGGCTTTCATAACCGCTGATGCACAGGTGTGAAGAAATTCCTTTCTCTGGGGCTGGTTTGATGTAGATTTGGCTGTGAGAACAAAGGCTTGAGTGAATATTTTACACCAGGACCCCACAGTGTGGGGAAAGGTCATCCAGTTTCCAGTACAGAGGGGAGTTATACCCAGAAACTGATTAATACACTGCTGGGGTTTCTTTGTGATGAGTCCCACTGTGGAAAGGGGGGTGTTGACCAAGGTTTCTGTCCCTCTGGTCCTGCAGCCGTTCAGTCCCAAAGAAATACAAAGAGGTTACATTAATTATAAACTGGTTGGCCTATTAGCTCATGCTTCTTATCCACTAATTCTTACATCTTACAGTAACCTATAATTCTTGTCTGTGTTAGCCACGTGGCTTGGTATCTTTATTGGTGAGGCTTTCTCATCTTGCTTCCTCTGCAGACTGAGCTTGCCTCTTCTCAGAATTCTACTGTTCTCCTCGCCCCACTTCTATTTCCTGCACAGCCATCTGTAATGAAGTCTGGTGCCCTCTTCTGGCCTGCAGGCGTACACACAGACACATAATAAATAAATAAATAAATAAATAAATAAATAAATAAATAAATAAATAATTTTTTTTTTTTAAAAAAAGAAATACAACTGATAAATCTTCACAGGGTACAAGATCATTGTCCCACAGCAGGGGAGCACTGTGGCTTCACAGAAATGACAGAAACTATTCAAAAGGCAAATATTCCCAAAGCTTTGCAAGTTGGGTGCTAATCTTGTGATTTCGTTAACTGTTTTCTCACCATATAGTTCAGTGGACCACAGTGATGTGGGATGTCCTTCTGTATGTGTGTTGCTTTTATTGGTTAATGCATAAAGTTGTTTCGGCTAGTGGCTTAGCAAAGTAAAGCCAGGCAGGAAGGAAATCTGAACAGAGATTAGAGAGAGTAGGTGGAGTCAAGCAGACGCCAGTCAGCTGCTGAGGAAACAAGACATGTAAAAAATGAGGTGATGCCATGGCCATGTGGCAATACATAGACTACTATAAATGGGTTGTATAAGATGTAAGAGCTAGCTAGAAATATGCCCGAGCCATCAGTCAGTGTTATAATTATAGGTCCTGTGTGATTATTCGTGTCTGAGTGGCCAGGAGATGAAAATGCAGTCTCTGTCTACACCACAGCATCTCCCTCATCGTCTGACTCATCAGTCTCTCCACCTGGTGGGCTCTCCAGTCCTCACTGTCCTCGCATTTTCTTGCCCCTTAAGCCCTGTTGCTCTACCAGTACCACCCCCTTCAGTACAAACATTTTCAAATCTGCCACCAGAGAAAACCCGTGTCCTTGTGACACTCTCGTTTCTCAGTCCGTGTCCCTGTGTCTCTGCTTCATCTTTGGTTCCTTTGTTGTCCCAGGAGACAGTTTCTAGTTTTTAAACCACTGGATCTCCCATCTGCTTAAATGGTGTTCGATTTTGTTTTGAGGGTCTGAGAATCGACTCCCCACTGGGCCTGTGTGTGCCTGGTAAATGCTGACACTGGACTTTGTTCCTATGTTTTTTTTTGTTTGTTTGTTTGTTTTAATAAGGGGGGAGTAGGTCTTGTTAAGCTGCCCAGACTGGCCTCCTATTCAACATCTTCCTACCCTAGGTCTCATAGTAACTGGGATTCTTGGCATGTGCCACCACACCTGACAACATAGATGCTTTTCAGTTCCCTCTGCCACTGCCTCGGTGACTTCCATGGCACTGTCTGTGGCTCTTCACTAGCTATTTCTTCTGTCGACAGATTTCTCTTCTCCACCCCCTTTATTCTCAGAGGGTGAATAAGAACATAACCTACTCACGTTAGGTTCATTTGAAGGAGGCTTAGTAGCCAAGAGGTTAATTGTTTGTGACAGGATTGGGCAGAGTGTTGAAGAATTGAGTGGAATTAACTCCTTAAGAGGACTTTTAATTGAGGGGCACCAATACCTCAAGGCAGTATCACAGGAAAGAACCAGAAGAATAAATCTGCTGACCATCATCTCTCCAGTCTTCTGTTGAGTCTCTCATTGGTAGAAGCATCTGGAAGCCAAAGGACCTGTTGTATGCCATACAAGTTAGTGTTCTTAGCCAGAGAGCAAGGTGGAGAAATTGATCACTAGAGCTGAGTGGGATCCATATGACATTTGATACAATTCATTTGTCATTTGGGGGAGATTTAAAGATGGACCCTCTCATTATCCAAATGTAGAGGGGAAGAAGTTACTCTTGTTCTGATTATAGCTACATCATGTCAATCCTTTGACTAGGTGACCCGTCTACACTGTGGCCTGCCCTGTAGGGCAGATGGGTAATGCAGACTGGCCTAAGAATATGTCCTCTTGTGTGGCTATTTCATCCTAAACTCAAACGTTATTTCTGTTAACTTGTCACGTTGCTTTCTTCTTACCCTTTTCCATACATTCTGTTAATATATTCTGTTGATATATTCTGTTAATATATTCTGTTAATATGGCCGTTAACTTCCCCACGTGTTTTCTTCAGCACTTTTGAGTTCCCCTAACTCACTGTTAGCGTCATACAGCTTCTGAGTTCCCCTAACTCACTGTTAGCTTTAGCCATACATACAGCTTTAGCCAGTTTCTCTTTATCATCCGGTCTCTTTTCTGTCTTTCGCACTCTGCCGCAGACGGTTTTTCTTACTTTCTACGGTCAGTGTCTGCTGTTTAGCATGACCACCATGTGGTGTCATTTAAATAGGGCACAGCTTCACACGCTCACCCTCTCATTGCAGGCTCTGATATGGGGACTGAGAAAAAGGAGGAGCTTCCCAAGGAAGAAATTTCTGAAGAATCCAAGCCACATGGGCCAGTGTTGGAAAAGCTTTCACAGGTTTACCAAGGTCATGGGTTTGGAGCAGCAAGTGAAAAAGACATATTAAAGGGACATCTGAGAAAGTCTCCTCAGGAGAGAGACTTTGCATCAGGGTTAGTTATCTTCAAGACGTCATCCTTAGGTGAGAAAGAGCAGGGTAGTAGTGGGCGTCCTGACCCAAGTGTGGTGCCCTGCCATGGGGGTCCTCCAGCAGAGAGGGACCCAAGTGTGGTGCCCTGCCATGGGGATCCTCCAGCAGAGAGGGACCCAAGTGTGGTGCCCTGCCATGGGGATCCTCCAGCAGAGAGGGACCCAAGTGTGGTGCCCTGCCATGGGGATCCTCCAGCAGAGAGGGACCCAAGTGTGGTGCCCTGCCATGGGGATCCTCCAGCAGAGAGGGACCCAAGTGTGGTGCCCTGCCATGGGGATCCTCCAGCAGAGAGGGACCCAAGTGTGGTGCCCTGCCATGGGGATCCTCCAGCAGAGAGGGACCCAAGTGTGGTGCCCTGCCATGGGGATCCTCCAGCAGAGAGGGACCCAAGTGTGGTGCCCTGCCATGGGGATCCTCCAGCAGAGAGGGTTAGCGTGTTTGCTACTTCTGCTCAGAGCTTCATGGAGAAGGTACAGCTTCATCAAGCACAGAGGACTTCTGGGGGAGATAAGCCTCACACGTGTAAAGAATGTGGAAAAGCTTTTAATCAGAACTCGCATCTCATCCAGCATATGCGAGTTCACAGTGGAGAGAAACCCTTTGAGTGCAAAGAGTGTGGAAAGACATTTGGAACGAACTCCAGCCTTCGAAGGCACCTGAGAATTCATGCTGGAGAGAAGCCCTTTGCTTGTAACGAGTGTGGGAAAGCCTTCATTCAGAGCTCACATCTTATCCACCATCATCGAATCCACACAGGAGAAAGGCCTTATAAATGTGAAGAATGTGGGAAAGCCTTCAGCCAGAATTCAGCCCTTATCCTGCACCAGAGAATCCACACTGGGGAGAAACCGTACGAATGCAATGAGTGTGGGAAGACCTTCAGGGTCAGCTCCCAGCTTATCCAGCACCAGAGGATTCACACCGAAGAGAGGTACCATGAGTGCAACGAGTGTGGCAAAGCCTTCAAGCACAGCTCGGGCCTCATCCGACACCAGAAAATCCATACTGGAGAAAAGCCCTATCTGTGTAATGAGTGTGGGAAAGGCTTTGGTCAGAGTTCTGAGCTTATCCGTCATCAGAGAATTCATACAGGGGACAAACCCTACGAGTGCAACGAATGTGGGAAGACTTTCGGGCAGAACTCAGAGATCATCAGACATATTAGAATTCATACTGGGGAGAAGCCCTATGTGTGCAAGGAGTGTGGGAAGGCCTTCAGGGGTAACTCAGAACTTCTCAGACATGAGAGGATTCACACTGGAGAGAAACCCTTTGAATGCTTTGAGTGTGGCAAGGCTTTCAGGCGGACCTCTCACCTTGTCGTCCACCAGAGAGTACACACCGGGGAGAAACCCCACCAGTGTCACGAGTGTGCAAGAACCTTTTGGGATAACTCGGAGCTGCTGCTTCACCAGAAGATTCACGGTGGAGAGAAGCCTTATGCGTGCCTGGAGTGTGCGAAGACGTTCAGCCAGCACTCGCAGCTCACCATCCACCAGAGAATCCACACCGGAGAGAAGCCGTACGAGTGTCAGGAGTGCCAGAAGACCTTCAGTCGGAGCTCCCACCTCCTCCGACACCAGAGCGTCCACTGCGTCGAGTGACCCGCAGGCCAGGACTGTGTGGAAAGGCCGAAGCAGGCTCTTTGTTCCTTCACAGTCTGTCCCCTAGTCCTTGGGTCACACGCAAGGACAGGCCCTCCTCTGCCCACGCCCTGAGCCTTGTGGTAGCTGGCGGAAGTGACGGAGCAGTTTCATGAACTATTTATTGAGAAGTTTGTGTTCTGAATTAAATCATAAAAGTTGTTTCAGGCCTTAATTCTCCTCTGTCCTTCTTTCCTTCCTTCTTTCCCTCCCACAGGGGTCTGCACCTGTGTCTAAATTGTTGTTCTTTGTGAAAGTGGGGACAGGATTCACTGCTACGAACTTCGGAGTTGACTCACTGTCTCCTGCGATGTTAGAAAATTGTGAACTATTCTCCAGTTCACTGCGTAGCCTTGGGTACCTTAGTGAGCTCGCCCCGCCCCAGGCCTTAAAATCTTACGGTTGTGTTATCAAGTTCCCTTGAACACGGCGACGTTAATGAGAAAACAGGAAGCTGCATCTTTTCACATCTGCCAGGCTCCTTACTTATCTAAGAGGCTTCCACGAGAAGGAAGCCGTTTACAGGATGGAGTGGAAGCCTGAACACCTGGAGGAAGAACCCGTGAGAGACAGCTGAAGCCGGCTGCTGAGCACGGGCAGGAGAGGCTCAGCGGCAGCTCCTCCTGCTGCTGCCATCTTGTCAAGAAGCAGTGAACAGGGTGGGGTGGCTTTTCTCTGCCGGGCACCAGGCCGTGGTGGTGAGCTGGATAACTCGACGAATCAGGCCTGGCCTTTCCAACATCTGAACTCTCATGACCACCAGCTGGGGGCTCTGGGTAATAGCTGTAGATGTGACAGATCTTCTTGGTGTGTCTTATGGCTGAGAATTCTTTTTCCAACATCTCTGCATGTCTTCTGTGTCCTCCAGTTGGCACGTTTCCATGTGTGATGCGCGTGGTAGGAACAGAAATTGCACTAAAGAAAACACTGCAGGCCTGGGTTCTTATCTGAGAACTCTCCCTTTAATGAGCCCTCAGTTCCTGGTCCTTGGTTTTCTTCTCTGCAAAATGAGGGGTGTTGAATGAAATGACCTCTCAAGTTTCAGGCAGCCTCTAAGAAAATACGCTAATCACCAATTTGTGTTTTCAGTACTTGAGTTTCATAACCCAAGGCTTTGTGTTTGCCAGGCAAGCAGTCCACCTCTGAGCTTCAGCCCTAGCCCCATCCCCTTCCAGAGCCAGATCCCGATGAGCTGTCCAGTCACGGTGCGCCAGGCAGTGTGCTGTCAGCTTACACTGTTTCCCTTGATGCCTCTGTGATGTGGGACTGGCTTTACTTGGAGACAATGTACATATCATAAAGTTTGTGGTGTTAAATGTCCAGTTGAGCGATTCTTGGTAAATTAGAGTTGCACAGTTTTCCTCAGTGCAAGTGTTCTTAAGCCATCTTAAATGATGACTGAGCTCAGGTGGGGCAGGGAATGTTAGGTGATTCACCCGTGATCGTGTTCAGTCTAGAGCTGAGGGTCCAGGGGTCTATTAGCCGCTGTGCTGTGGGTAGGCTCCTTCATTAATGCCTCATTTTAAGCCCTTTGCACACTTTTTTAAATTACCAGTCACTACACATATGTGACGATAAAGATTTTAAACTATATCTTGGCAGATGTTACTCACCACAGCCCAGTTCTGCAGGCAGGCTTTCTCTACCCCAGAGCTCTTTTCAGCTTTCTACCCTTGGCTTGAGAGAAAAGCAGTCAAGTAAGCAGCTGCTGAGTCCATTCCACAGCTTTGCAGGCGGCCACTCTGCTGCCAGATGCTGGCAGGAGAGCTCTGGCTGCTTCCCTCTGGTTACCAGTGCAGTGTGGTCTCCTTCGGTTTTTGTTGCTTTGCTCCGGTTCAGAGTAAGCTGCACCCGCCCCGTCCCCAGGACATCACTCACCTCTGTAATTTAGGATTTTTGTGGTCCCTTACTTTACTTCCAAGTTCATCCCTTTTCAGTCCTTATATAGAGCCAGCATCTAAGAAAGCTCATTTAAAATGTGATTGAATATTACAATAAAAATTAAAAAGCCAAGTGAAACCTTGTCTAAAAAAGACATCAGCACTCTTCAAATGCCCCAAAGGAATTTTCCCGGGACACATTCGTGAGGACCACGGCCTCCCCTGGAGATGAGCATGCTGCAAAGGTGGAGGCTCTTATGTCTCTCCTCTCAGACTTTGCTCTCAGAAGTTCTTGGTGAAACCAGCAGTGCAGGGTTTGGCTTTGTTCTGTTTGAGACAGAGTCTCTCTATGTTGCTGTAGCTGTCCTGGAATTTGCTGGGGAGACCTGGCTAATCTCAAACTCAGACCCGCTGGCCTTTGCCTCCCAAGTGCTGGGATTATAGGTGTGCGCCACCATGCCCGACCCTTTTCAGGGCTTAGTTTGGGTTTTCCTTGCTGTTGTTTTGGTTTTTGGTTTTCCTAAAAAGCCAATCCTTCCACCCAACTTCAACACATAGTTTCTTTCTTTTTCATCCCTCCTTTCTCCTCCCTCACTTCCTCCCTTCCTTCTTTTGTTCTTTCTATGTCTCAAATAGCCCAAACTGACCATGACTCTGTTGTGGCTGAGGATGACCTTGAACCCCTGAACCTCCTTCCTCCACATCCTCAGGCACCACTACGCCCAGTTTATGCGGTGCTGGAGATCCCACTTGGCTTTGCTCATGATAGGCAAGCACAAACAGGACTCCATTCTCACCTCCTCAGTTGCCTTAAACCCATCACTGTTTAGCAAAAGAAAAGGCCTTTTACTTAATCCGTTCTCTTGAACATTAGTGACAAGCTTTGTTGTGCCCGAGCATGCTCAGAAGAGGAGGAAGGCCTCATGTTCTCAAAAGAATCTGTGTGTGCTGCCCGAGAGGAAGTAGTCTCTTGGGTACGTCACACATGCGTCCTCTGACCTCACTTGTCTCAGGAAACTTCCTGACCTTTCCTTGTTTGCTTACCTCGCGTCAACATCCTACCGTAACTGGTTAGCAGCCACAGTTCTATGCAAGGAGAATCCCGCCTGCCAAAGACAAGTCATGAATGAACTGCACACCCACTTTCAAGAAATAAAATAGACTTCACAGTCTGAAAGCCCCACTTAAGTACCCGAGAACTCCTGCAGGATCTTTGAAGATATGTCAACATCTGTTCTCTTCCTTTTCTCACAGTTTAAGCAAATAAAACATGTCTTTGTAATTTTCTCAATATGTCTTCCTTTTGCGTGTTATTCTAAACTTCATTGTGTTTTGTTATGGTCTCAATATGACTTTGTACAGGTTTCATTTCCACCTTGTTTTGTCTTTCTCCAAGTGCGCCGTCGTGCCTTGCTGTTAGTGTGTGGCTTTGAGTATGCTGTTCACTCTGCCCTATATCTGGTGTGTGTGTGTATGTGTGTATGCAGTGCCCAACTGTGTGTGCCCAACATGTGGTGCCCACAGAGGCCAGAACAGGGAGTTGGATCTCTTGGAACTGGAGTTATACATGGTTGTCAGTCACCACGTAGGTACTGGGAGCTGAACCCCAATCCTCTGGAAGAGCAGCCAATTCTCTTAACTGCTGAGCCATTTCTCCAGCCCCCAGGGGGTTCTTGATTTAGAGGGTTAGGGACATGCCTGAGGCCTGGGGGGGTCACTAAAACACTTGCAAAAAACTGAGTTGTAGACAGTTGCCATTAACAGCCCTAAAATATCAGCCAGAGGTTATAATTATAAACAGACAAAACAAAACCCAGGATAGAGGGGCTGGAGAGACAGCTTGGCAGTTAAGAACAGTGACTGTTCGATTTTCAGCACCCACACTGTGGCTCACAACCATCCATAACAGCACATGGAGCACAGATAGACATGCATGCAAAACACCCATACTCCTGAAGTAAAATAATTTTTTAAAATTAAACCCCCCCCCACAATAAAAAGCATCTTTAGCTCAGGGCCCTGTCTATATAGAAACAGGTGTGAGTACTTTAGGATTTGATCCTTAGGCCACATGCTTATCTCTGGGCCAGGAAAGGTGTCTTCAAGGAAGCAACATTTAAGTGGAGACTTAGGCAAAGGAGGTAGCTTAGCAGCTAGTAGAAAGTATGAAGGAAGAGGAGACAAGGGGGCACATTTAAGGTGCAGATGAGCTTGGAATGTGGGCCAGCGATCAATTTAGTGCCTCCTTACTTTAAACCCATCCTTTGTAGTTCTTTATGATCCTGGAGTTGGGCCTATAAATACTCCCTCCTTTCTGAGTGATGCAGAGTCAGGTTGCCAGTAATGGTCACTGGAGGGACAAGGCGAAGAGGAAGGGTCTACTTCTAGGTGTGGTCTTTACCATCACGTGTGTGTGTGTGCGCGTGTGTGTTTGTGTGTGCATGTGTGTCTGTGTGTTTGTGTGTGCGTGTGTCTGTCTGTGTGTTTGTGCATGTTGTTTGTGCGTGTGTGTATGTGTGTATGAGTGTGTATGTATGTATATGTGTATATGTGTGTGTGTTGTGTCAGTGCTCGCACCTGTTAATGCATTTGGACAGCACATTAACCCGTGGCTTTCTGCCTGTCAGTCCTGGCCTGCAGCTCCTCAGTGAACATCACCAGTCTGTACCAGAATGAACATACTGCTGTATTGGTAAATATTTAGGTCAAAACCAAAAGAGCCAACCAACCAAAGCAAACTGAAAGAGCAAGGGATAATAACCCCACCAAATGCCTCTGACTTGTTGCATTTCCTCGTGGTGAATATCCTCACGACAGCTCATTTCAACGCAGGTCGGAAGCAGTGTGCAAAACTGGCTCTGGCAAGGCTCTAGCTGGCTCTAGTGTACCTCTGAAGGAGACACAGTGTCTCCTAAAAGTATGATCAGAGCATGGAAGGCTGCCCTGCCTGAATTCCTCTTGCCTTTGGGCCCCAGTGTGTAGAGTAGTTTGTCTGTGATTTACCCTAGTCTTTGCAGGCCTCGGCCACTCGTGGACCGAAGAGAGCAGATCTTGGTGCATAGGTACCTGGCACAGAGTCAAATGAACCTCTGCCTGTGGGTTGACCTTGGGCCCACGTGAGACGACACCGACAGAGGAACTGGAACAGCGGAGGAAGGTCCTGGGCAGGACACAGTGAGCCCAGCCCTGTGACCTCGCACCTCTGGCCGCCATCCCCATGGCCTCTCCTAATAGAAGGATACCAAGCCGGGTCCCCTTCTTGGTTTCAGAGGAGTCAGGTCTAGGGCGACCAAATCTGCAAACGCAGCCGCAGCCGTATCACTTTTGGGCTCTCCCCAGCTTCCAGTTCCACCGGGACTGACATTGCACGTCATTTGAAGCTCCGCCACCTCAGACCCAAATACCCACTCGACCTTCACTTCCCTGGTGCTCCCGAAGTCCAGGGTGGCAGTTCTCTCACTCCACCTGGTTGCGCCCACCGCCAATCTGTGCGTGCGCCTTCAACCGCTTCCCACAAGCAGGAGTGAGCCCCTCCTCTGCTCCTGCCCGCGGGGCTCCGTAAGCTCTGGCTACTGCGTGGGTGGCGGCTGCCCCCTAGCGTCCGCAGGGACAACAGTCAACGCAGCGATGGAGCCTGGGGGAAATCTCCACTCTTAAAAAAAAAAAAAATTCTATGTACTTCCTTGTAGGTGCTACTGGGTTTCATCAGGACATCATACAAGTACATAGTGTACTCTGAGCCTGTTCGCCCCCTACTTCCCCTTTCCTGCTTCTCATTAAACCCGTCTGTTCTTGATACAGTTTTTCTCCTACTTTCCTGGCATATGATATCTTTATGAAATCTAGGACTCGTAAAAATATGCGAAATTTGTCTTTCTGAGACTGATTAAATTTGTCTAATACGATAATCTCTAACTGAACCCATTCACCTGCAAAAATATAACTGTGCTCTTTTTATGGCTAAATACACGCCACACACACACACACACACACACACACATTACGTGTTCAACCCACTTTTCTATTCATTCCTCTGTTCAGAGACGCCTAAGTCAATCCCATAAGTGGCTATTGTCAACTGTGTTGCAAAAGACACAAAGTAAGTGTCTCTGTAATATGTTGGCTTAAGCATGCTTTGGGTAAGTAGCCAGGAGCACCACAGTGAACCCCGTGGTACATCTATTTTCAGCGTTCTGCAGATTGTCCATACTGTCTGTGGTGGTTGATCAGTAGTGTGGAGGGTTCCTCTACCTCAGTGCCCTTGTCTGCAGCTGTTGCTAGTTTCTTTTCAACTATGTGCATGTGTGGGTGTGTGAACTAGGGTGCGCGTGCCTCAGAGACCAGAGGCCTTCCCGACTTGGGCAGTGGGAGCAGAACTCCTTGGGAAGAGCAGGTTCTCTTAATTGTAGAGGCATCTTTACACCCCCTTCCATGTTTCTCTCTCTCTCTCTCTCTCTCTCTCTCTCTCTCTCTCTCTCTCTCTCTCTCTCTCTCTCTCTCTCTCTCTCTCTCTCTCTCTTGGTTTTTTGAGACAGGGTTTCTCTGTAGCTTTGGAGCTTGTCCTGAAACTATCTCTTGTAGACCAGGCTGACTTCAAACTCACAGAGATCCGCCTGCCTCTGCCTCGCAAGTGCTGGACTTAAAGATACACACTGCCACCACCGCCTGGCTGGTGCTGTTTTCTTAATGACTGTCATTTCAACTGGGGTAAGATAGAATTTCCACGTAGTTTGGTCTTGCATTTCTCTGATGGCCTATGAGGTTGACCTTTTCCTGTGTTTGTTGATCATTTGGACTTCGTCTTTTGTGAACTGGCTGTTTATTTATTAGTTCATTTACTCATTGAGGTTTTTAGCTTTTTGAGTTTTTTTTGTACATTCTAGGTATTAGTTTTTGTCTGATGTGTAGGTAACAAGAGTTTTCTTGGAGAGACGCTTTCCATAGGCACTGACTTCAAAGCTGAGACCTGCATAGTGTCAGAGCTTGAGTCCCCCAGGAGCTCTAGACTGACCCAGAGCCCTGTAGGGGTCAGCATAGGTAGGCAATCCATCCCATAAGGAATTTCATGGTTTTTCTTCTATCTTTTTATGTGTTTTTCTTTCCTTATTAATTACCTTCTGTTTATCATGCCCTATCAAAGGCTTATGATATAAACAAGGGAACATAATGTTTAAAGAGTGCAAGTTCTGTGTGTGTGTGTGTGTGTGTGTGTGTAAAACAACAACTGTGTGTCACCGGGCGGTGGTGGCGCATGCCTTTAATCCCAGCACTTGCGAGGCAGAGGCAGGCGGATCTCTGTGAGTTCGAGGCCAGCCTGGTCTACAAGAGCTAGTGCCAGGACAGGCTCCAAAGCTACAGAGAAACCCTGTCTCGAAAAAAAAAAAAAAAAACAACGACTGTGTGTGTAAGCAACGGCTGCTTGCTGCCAAGGCTGATGACCCGAGTTTGATTCTCCACCAGATTTGGTGGATTCTCCACAAGAATCCATATGGTGGAGAGAGCCAACTCCCTCTGGCTGTCCTCCGTCTTCTTCTGCCCACCCTGTACACCAAATATATAAATGTAAAAAAATTAAAAGTGCAAAAATCATGCACCCAGAAAGTCAGTGTCCTTGTCCCTCCAGCTCATGGGCTGTGCATCCTTGGAAACATCACCTTCTCTCTTCAAGCCCAGCTGTGTCCTCTATAAAGGGACACAGGGAATGAGATCTGCATGTAGAGAAATCCAGTGCTTGCCATGTTATTAAGGCGACTGTAGTGGCTTGAAAGAAAGAGGCCCTCAGAAGGAGAGGCACTAATGGGTAAAGACTTCCACTGCTCTTGCCAGCAACCCCTCACCCATGCTTTGTAAGCAAGTTCAATAAACTCATTGGTTTCAGAGGCTAGAGAGATGGCACACAGGTTAGGATTGGGTTTGATTCCTAGCACCAACATGGTAGCTTACAGTCATCGGTGACTATAGTTCAGGGGACCCATAATCTTTTCTGACTTCCACAGGCACCAGACATAAATATGGTGTATATAAATGCATGCTTTCAAAATATTCATAAACATAAAAATATATAAAAAACAAAAACACAACTAAACAAACAAAAAGTCCCATAACTCACAGATTCAACACAATGCCCATGAAAATCCCAGCAAAATTCTTCAAAGACCTCAAAAGAACGGTACTCAACTTCATATGGAAAAGCAAAAAACCCAGGATAGCCAAAACAGTCCTGTACAATAAAAGAACTTCTGGAGGCATCACAATCCCTGACTTCAAACTCTACTACAGAGCTACAGTACTGAAAACAGCCTGGTACTGGCATAAGAACAGACAGGAGGACCAATGGAACCAAATAGAAGACCCAGATATCAGTCCACACATCTTCAAACGCCTGATTTTTGACAAGGAAAAAAATCAAATGGAAAAAAGAAAACATATTTAACAAGTGGTGCTGGCATAACTGGATATCAACATGTAGAAGAATGAACCCATATCTATCACCATGCACAAAACTCAAGTCCAAATGGATCAAAGACCTCAACATAAAGCCAGCCACACTGAACCTTAGAGAAGAGAAAGTGAGAAGTACACTTGTACGCATTGGCACAGGGAACCACTTCCTAAATAGAACCTCAGGAGCACAGACACTGAGAGAAACAATTAATAAATGGGACCTCCTGAAACTGAAAAGCTCTGTAAAGCAAAGGACACAGTCAATAAGACAAAACGACAGCCTACAGAATGGGAAAAGATCTTCACTAACCCCACATCAGACAGAGGGCTGATCTCCAAAATATACAAAGAACTCAAGAAATCGGACACCAAAAGATCGCATAATCCAATAAAAAAAATGGAGTACAGACCTAAGCAGAGAACTCTCAACAGATGACTCTAAAATGGCTGAAAGACACTTAAGGAAATGCTCAACATCCTTAGTCATCAGAGAAATGCAAATCAAAACAACTCTGAGATTCCATTTTACACCTGTAAGAATGGCCAAGATCAAAAACACTGATGACAACTTATGCTGGAGAGGTTGTAGGGAAAAGGGAACACTTCTGCATTGCTGCTGGGAATGCAAGCTGGTACAATCCCTTTGGATGTCAGTGTGGTGATTTCTCAGAAAATTTGGAAACAGCCTTCCTCAAGATCCAGTAATAATACCACTTTTGGGTATATATCCAAAGGATGCTCAGTTGTGCCACAAGGACATGTGCTCAACTATGTTCATAGCAGCTTTGTTTGTCATAGCCAGAACGTGGAAACAACCTACATGCCTCTCGATCGAAGAATGGATAAGAAAAATGTGGTACATTTACACAATGGAGTACTACACAACAGAAAAAAATAACGGCAACTTGAATTTTGCAGGAAAATGGATGGAGCTAGAAAACATTATTTTGAGTGAGGTAACCCAGACACAGAAAGACAATTATCACATGTACTCACTCATAGGTGGTTTTTAAACATAAAGCAGAGAAAACCAGCCTACAAACCACAATCCCAGAGAACTTAGACAACAATGCGGACACTAAGAGAGACTTACATAGATCTAATCTACATGGGAAGTAGAAAGTAGAAAAAGACAAGATCTCCTGAGTAAGTTGGGAGCATGGGGACTTTGGGGAAGGGTTGAAGTGGGCAGGGAGGGGAGCAGAGAAAATGTAGAGCTCAATAAATATCAATAAAAAATAAAATAGTTTAATTCCATAATAATAATATTGTTATACTTTAAAATAAAAAAAAATAGTCGAGTCGCATAACTCACTGGTTCCCCAAGGTGAACTTGGCTGACTTATACTTTAGTTTCTCATTGTGATTTTATGGGGCAAGGGTAGCTCTTATGTCCCCCTGGGAAGGGATTCCTGAAGTATGGGACATGTGTCATGGAAGCCAGAGAGCAGTTGTGGGAGTCAGTTCTACTGTGTGGGTCTAAATTGAGGCTTCCTCCTCCCTGATGACTCTAGCTCGTATCAAGTTGATATAAAACTAGACAGCACACTTAAGGAGACATCTTGTGATGGAAACAAGTCTAAACATGAAATTAATTTGCTTCACTTACATGTTTTTCTACACAAGATTTTTTTTTCAGACAGGATCTCACTGTATAATTTTTTAAAACAGTTTAAGTCC